CACCTAACCTTCCTGTAAGGACTGTCTGTCTACTCTGCCTGCATCTTCACTGGGGACAGGTGAGCTGCTCAGGTGAGGAGGAGAAGGAGGAGGAAGAGAAGGAGGAGGAAAAGGATGAGGGGAACTACAGGGACACCTGGTGGTCAGGTGAGGCATATCAGGTTCTGAAATAAAAACAAGGGACTTTAGAAAACAATCAAACAGAAGAGACATTGAATGTGATTGCACAAAAATCCTTTATTTCCAGGATCCAGGAGCACATTTTCCACACACAGCTCAAAGACAAACTGCATTTTTAAAACGTTTCCTTTAGCTACGACCTTCAGTGATAAAAGTAGCAAAATAAAGTCTGTGTGCTTGGAGAATTTAAAAAATGAACCACGACAAGACAGCTTACGGAGAGTTTGGTTCCAAGTTTGACTCCAAATGGCTGAGAAAACAATGAAAATATAAAACACTATTAAATGGACGGAGTGGATTTAAAATAAAAGCTGTTTTGTGTAACGTTATGGCACCGTTTAAGTATTGAGCTAAAGTGACGGACATGACGTAAATACAAAACACAAGACTCTCGGGAACAATATTCACAACATGGAGTCAGAAAATGCTTTTTTACCACAAGACTACTTTCAGTGCTGGAGAAAGAGTTTGTAAGAGCGATGATTTTAAAGTAGTGCTTGCAACAACACCGTTAAAAAACACAGTTATACACACACACAATTTTTTTTGTTTTTAAAGCTCCTTGTAAAAGGATTGTCATTTTATAATCTTTCATACAGCATTTGATCTCAACACTGGTTTAATGATTCTGTTTTATAAGAAAGGTTTACAAAAAATTGCAAAAACAAAAACAAGAGGCAAATCTGTAAATGCATTTGAAAGTTGTGCCTTCATCAGCTAACGCTACTAAAATCCACAAATATCTTATAAGCACCTTTCTGTAGTGAAATAAAAGCTTCATGTTTTACAGTTTTACAGACATTCAACGATGCAGACACCGCACACACGCGTGGTCACACGTTTCTCTTTTGGTTTCTGAGTCCGAGCTAAATGCTAGATGCTAACGCTGTCGTCCAGCTTTTGCACCTTTTAGGTTTTACCGTGAGTAATGCTGCGTTCAAGTCACATCAGAACTCCGCTGGATGAGAAATGATTGGTCAAAATCAGACACAAAGTAACAAATATAATAGATATCTATAGATATAGATAACTGTAAGTGTAACTTGTCATTTTGATTTGAAATCAAAGATAATTATGTTGGACACATATGGTCTTCATCTGAAAAAACAACAACAATTTACTTGATAATATTTCCAGTTAAAGGTGGGGTAGGTAATTCACTTCAGAAACACTTTTTGTTATATTCCATGGAATGCTCTTAACATCCCGATAGCAATGAATACATGAAATGCTTTGACAATAAATACATACAAATATTTCATCTGTGGAAGCCGTGGCGCTGTAAAAAGCACGACCAATCATCTGAGCCGGCCCGGCTAAAATAACTGGATGGCGTACCTGCCTGTCAGCCTTCCATCTCGTGCACAAACTTATCTCGTGCCCTCATTGGTCATGTGCGCGTCCGTTGGAGGAGGGGCTCTGTAAGGAAGTCTGATGGAAGTGGCAGATATTTTCCGGTTGTATACTTTCAAATTCTAGCGCACTCAACAAGCTGGTTTCTCCATTCTTACCTACCCTACCTTTAAGAAGCCGTTTATGTTACTTACAGTACATCGGACTTAAGGCTGGCTGATATGACAATATATTTCGTAAAACCGATACAAATGAGTTTTTATTTTCCTATATTGTTCCTTTCGTGATTGATCTAGGCCTTTATTGCATGTCCATTTTGCACTCAAGTTCTTTAATTGAGAAAATACCTTTCATTAGTCATTTTTATTTAAGTAACCAGCTAAATATAAATATATATATATATCAGGATATTTATCGTTATTGATATATTAACTAATAGATTTATCCAGTGCGAATCTGACGTGACATGAACGCAGCATTTCCCACTGATGGACGTGGTTATGATTCTTGATTTTGTTATCTTATCTGGTTTGTTATTAATTACAGTACGAATAAAGAAGGACATTTCAAACCCTGCATGAAGCAGAAATGTATAATGTCTGAACAGCTTAGTTTGGTTTGAGTCTCTTACTTTAAATCCCCACACATATAATAGCCAGATATGAAATGAAAAACATTGAAGTGCATGTATGTACCCTCTGAATCGTCTGGGATGGCGGGAAAACTTGAGAAATACTTCCCTGCACTTCCTCTCCGGCCTTCTCTTGTTGTAATCTATTATTTACACTGATTTCCTAATGGATGACTGTGTGCTGTAAGTGCACTCTGCAGGAGGAGGAAGTGACACAAGGCATTATGGGACATTTCACACTGTCTCTGCTCAGGAAACAAAAATGCTTTGATTTCAGACCTGCTGACGGACAAATCAGACCCTCTGATAAAGTCTCTAATATACAGGTAAGTGCACAACATCGTGTCGACCTCGAGGCGGCTCAATGCAGCTTCAGGAGAAACCAATAAAACGCTCTGATTTTCACCATCCGTTTGAATCTCATCAACAATATATAAGAATGAAATGCTGTTTAGTTGAAGCACCAGGACATCTACTCACCTACATCTAATGTACATCTACTAACACACATTTAATATCTGTTGGTATTCAGTCCAAATCTCTCTGTCTATATGATTAACATCCGCGTACGAGGAAAGAAAGTGTGCAGCAGCTTCTTCATTTACCGGTATATCATGTATCGTAGCATAAGTTAAAGTCTTATTTGCACACACAAATGAAAATGTTATAAAATCTCCATTGGTGTTTTTTTAGTAGCCTGTTAACTGCAGTTATTTTTAATATAACATAGAGACCAGTTTAATGAAGTTACCCACCTCGCTGAAGTCTATCTTCTACAGCAAGATATAAGGGACATTTATATTAATTATATTTATTATAATTATTATGTTATTAATCTGGGTAGGTTGCTTTTCGTACTCTTCTCTTCCGGACTTTACTAGTGTGTATATACAGATCAGACAGCAATGAGTTTTGGCTACAAGAACACAAATCTTTTCCAAACATGAAAATTAAACTCAGTGATCGCACGACTACCAATATATGAATACGCAGTGTGACGGATATAAAAACATCTTCCTTCAGTGGCCTTATCGGTTCCAAGGCAGAAACCAGATATGAAGTCCTTTTTCCCTTCCCTCTTTTAATGTTAAATCAAAAAGAGTTGGTCTGTCTTTGCTTGTGTACCTTCCTTTCCTTCTTCACACCCTCAGTTACTCTTCCTCATCCTTTCAGAGGAAGAATCCAGACTTCAGAGGGTCCGGCAGCGCGGGCAGCGGCTCGGGGAGGTCGCGTGTCGTCACTCCGTTTCCGTTGGGCATCAGACACGTCCGGATGTACGCTGCGTTGGTGGCGGCGAGGAGGCAACCGTTCTCCAGCTGTGGAAGAAAGACGTCACATTGTCAGGATGTATCCATGTTGTTAGTTTACTTCGATCTAATCACTACGCGCCCCATCTTGATGTAAATAGCTCCATTCCGAGTACTGATTTCCTACATAATAAAACATGTGTACTCATTGTGATGTTCATAACTCAGCCTCTCTCTGGGATTCAGATCAGTGTTTAGCTGCTTCCCTTTAGCACAGTGTACTTTCCCCACAGTGCAGTGCTCTCAGCATTAGGTAATGACGACAGATAGATTGTAGGTCAGCACGCCTCAGTGCTCGGCCTGCCACTATTTTGCTTTCAGCGCCAGCCAGTGACCCTGAAGAATAACAGAGGAGGATGAATGGATGCCTGCCGGGCCGACCTTATTCTTTTCATTAATGTTCGCTTTCTCACCGCCGCCTCTCGTCTTCACCCCCCCATTCTCTCAGGTTTCATTATCTCCCATTTGATATGTCAACGGCCAACAATAACACTGAAGGAGAGGAGGAGGAGGAGGAGGAGGAGGAGAGGGGCGCAAAATGGGATATTCTTGTCTTTGTGAAAGATTGTCTGGAGCTTTTAGGTGATTATTTATGTGTTTTCCTTGTTCTTACCGTTCAAAATCAAAGCTCCACCCCTGGTGTAAAGTTATGTTATCAATTCAACTCTGGTAGGACTGGAGAATAGAAAGAACATCACTATGTATAAAGATACTTTTGGTTGACATATGCTTTCACATAATTACAAGATCCAAAATGGACGACACTATCTATTCTCTTATCACAATATTGATCAAATATATTCCTTATAAAAGCAGTTGTGTGATTTAAACTGAACAGGCCTTATAGAACAGGGGTGCAGATCCTGAAACGTTCCTGCTTGAATCTGCTCCAAACTTTAATTTTGGCCAGGCTGATCGTCCTCGTTAAGTTCTGCAGACCTCCAGCTCCTCTGTACTCTGAATGATTCATTTTGCTTAAGGATGACATTCCCCAGCCCTCGCTGCTCTGTCATTACTGCGAAAGGTTTTTGTTAAGACTTCAAAGACGAACTCCTGCTTCCCCTCAACTTGAGTCTCATTAAAAAACAAATCATGTTTTTGGGATCTGAGTTAGTTTAAGCTGCGGTGAGTCAGCAGGATCGCTAATATTGTTTTAGAAAGGGCTTGTACAGCAGACAGTCTGAACATGTTTGTTTTTAATGAACATATCAAGTCATTGAAATGTATAATGGGCTGCAGCTTAAACCTTTTGTGTTTATTAGTTTATCTGCAATTTTCTGGATTCAATATTTGGACCACCTTCATTTTTGATTGGTTTCAAAAGAACCATTACCATATCCCTAGAACACCTTCAATTAAACCTTTTTCTGTCTCACCATGGACGACACTCAAAATGAAAGTATTTCTGCGTGTACATAAAGCGTACTTGATGTATCTTTGATGCCAGTGTAGAACTTCACACAGTATTTACTTCAGGAACATTCAGCCTGATTGAAATCGAATCAAATCTATCAGAGTTTCTTCTACAGACTCATCCTGAGAGTACATGGCAGTGACCCATCTCTCCCTTCGTCTTATTTACCCGGCGCGTCGGCTCTCATCACCAGAACCTCCTCTGAGCTCCTCGCCGGCCCGCGGCCTCTGTTTGCTGACTCGGAAAAAAATCAATTTCCATGACAGTGAAAGAGCGCAGCACGGGTGAAGGGGTGAGGGTTTGTTGATGTTCGCTGATATTTGAGGGCAGCGCAGACTCCAGGCCAGATCGAGAGTGTTTATTGAACAGACTAAAAACAGTCCTGAGGAGAAGTGTGTGTTCAAATCTATTTCTGTACGTGAGGCTTTAGAAAATATATAATAATCAAATGTGACTGCAGATTGGTCTGTAAAATCATTTTTGTTCCTAGAGGAAATTAATAACCAAGCTCAATCATGTCGGGAATATGTTGACATTATTGACACCTTTAAACTTGCATTATAAACACAACTCTAGAATCTAAACATTAAACCAGGGGTGTCAAACTCAAGGCCCGGGGGCCAAATCCAGCCCGCGACTTCATTTTATATGGCCCCACAAGAGCTTGCAAAGAATATAATATGTTTATTATACGGTTACATGCTACTTTACAGGAGCATGTTGCTCATAAACTACATGTCCCACAATGCATCTCAAATTTGACTTTTTTCTCAGAATTTGACTTTTTTTCTTCAAAATATGCATTTGTTTCTCAGAATTATATATATTTTTCAAAATGTTACTTTTTTTTCAAAATGTCACTTATTTTTTTGTTTTTCCAGAATTTGGCTTTTCTTTTTCTTTTTTCATGCCACTTAAGAGACTTGCAATTATCTGCCCAAGACTTCTGCTTTCAGACATAGTTAATTATGAAGTTATTACCCTATCCGATAATAATCCAATGCAGAGCCAATAATGTAATATAATATTTTATTTTATATATTTATATATGTATTTTTATATAGTCTTAAAGTTACAACCGGCCCTTTGAGTGCAACCATAATGCTGATGTGGCCCTTGATGAAATTGAGTTTGACACCCCTGCATTAAACCTACAGAGGGTCATTTGATCCAGATCTCACCATGTGGGGTCAATAAAAAACCTGTTGATATCTAAGTGTTTACACCTTGCATTATTAACATAACTCTGTGGCTGCATCATGGGTCTCTCACCTTGCTGTGTGTGGAGTCCTGTGTGCTGCCGTTGAACATGCTGTAGGCCTCTAACGTCTGCAGGCTGTGCTGCGGGGGGGACAGACCCAGCAGCTGCTCCAGCTCCAGGGTGGAGCTCTGCGCCGGACACTGGGACAAACATGGCTGCTGGTGTTTTTGCTGAGTCATCAAACTCTGGTAGTGACAGACGTCCGCAGAGGAGACGCCATTCAGCGCCGAGACGCCGTTGTATCCCGCCTCCACGTTGGGAGGGAAGGCAGAGTGTCCGTTTGTGATGTAAGATCCGTTTGTTGGGAGCTGATTCTGGAAGTGGAGGTGGAGCGAGGGCTGCTGGAGCTGCCACTGCTGACTGGAGTCCGGCTGATGTTTATGTCCACCGTTTAGATGCAAGGCTTTGGGCGCAGTGTGGTGGTGATGGTGGTTCCAGTGCCCGTTAGTTAAAGTCTTGCTGTCCGCTGTGATCTGAGCAGCTTTCCCCAGCTCGCCTGCACTGATGTGCTGCTGCATCTGCTGCGACAGATGCATGATGGGTGGAGCTGCTGGTGGGAGCGCCGCCTGCTGGGAGCCTGGCTGAGCGGAGTCTCCTTCTGTGCCGCTCTCCAGAGAGTCGTGGATGTAGGAGAGGATCTCGTTGTTGGAGAGGAGGTCACTGAGCGAGGGGACGTGGTGGGGGCCCAGCTCCACCTGCATCATCCTCTCGTCCAGCAGCAGCAGCTCCAGGTCCTCGGCGTTCAGGCCCAGGTTCTCCAACGCGCTGAAGAGCTCGCTGTTGGAGCACGTTTCCTCCCCGTCTATAGACAGAGAGTCCAGAGTGGCCAGCAGCGGGTCGTATCCTAAAGTGGTTCCTCCCCCCATCTCCACGTTAGAGGTGAGGCTCCAGCTGTCTCCCCCCATCAAGCCTCCAAAATCCTCCCCGTCCTGCTGCTCGCTGAAAAGCCCGCTGTGGCACGACATCCTGGGCTCGGGGTCCGGCTGGCACACGTACACCGACGTGTCCTGGCTCATCAGAGCTCCCAGCAGCCCCTTAGGGTCCTGGTCCTCGGAGGAGCTCTTGTCCAGCTTACCCTTCTTTGACTTGCTGCCTCTGGATTTGCCCTGGAAGGCGTCGGGGAAGCCGTGCAGCGGGTATCCCGTCTGGTAGAGCATCGCCTCTCCCGTGGCGAAGGTGAAGGGCAGGTGCATGGAGCGCTTCCTCAGGTGCTCCCCGCCTTCCTCCTCCCTGCGAAATACAGATTAGCAAAAAACTTACAAACCAAGCCCTAACCATTGTCATCTTTAGGGCTGTGCAATATTTAGAGGTAAACCGGGTACAAAGATCTTAGGATGTTCAATTTGCTCTTCCACTCACACCAGGGGCCTCTGCGTGGCGATGATGTAGTCCGGCTTCCCGCTCTTGTACACGAGCCGGGCGTTGGCCTGCACCCACTTCCAGCGGTTCTCCTTGGTGAGCAGCCTGAAGACGGTGAGGCCGCTCTCGCCCGTCTTCATCACTGAAACATCAGACAGGAAGTCAGAGCTCTGTGTCGCGGCGGCTCATGTCTGCACGCCTCGCAGTGAGGGCGCTCTCACACTGCGTTAGCTCAGCGTGCAGCATGCTGAGGTTAACTTGTTAAAACACACATTTAAGAAACAAACACACAGTTTTCCTCCTCTCCACGCCTCAGTGTTCTCTGTGTCAGTGTGATGCGGTACAGGTCGTGTTTCTGTGCTGTCTACTTTCTAAACGAGCTTCATGGTGAAGCTCATCAAACCGTGTCAGGTTCAGGAGAACCATAACCATCATTTAGTTTACATTTCCTCGGAATCGGAGGGAGGAAATGTCCTCCTTTGTTGTTATCATGTCTGTGTTGCTGTTTGGAAACCTGCCTCCCATCTGTGTGTGCATCAGAGCATGCATGTGTCTCTATGTTGTATGTTTTCAAATGCATATGCATATATTTCCGTTCTGTATGCATGACTACGTGTATACACTGTGTGTCTTTGTGATTGGGCGAGTCTGGTTGCCGGGTGTTCAGGGCGCCATGGTTACGACTAACCGGGTCATCCGGTACACGAGGTAAGTAGGACACTTGACTCTCGCTCGGAGATTCCCTCCACCAACACACACACACACAAACAAACAAACATACACACACTAACAGCGTTTGTTTGTTTTGTGCATGTGTTACAAATGTAATGTTGATCCAAACATAAACCGGGGTCAATACACAACTACTGATGCTCGAGGGGAGGAAGCTGCAAATGTCACACATTTGTAAATCAATAAAGATTTAATTAAAATCACTGTGAGCAGCCCCCGTTACCCCAAACTTTTCAGAGGCTACGTTCACATGCACAAAATAGTCCGTTTTTTCCCCCTAATTCTAGAAAATACAGCATTCTTTCAAGGCTCTTCAACAACTACAGTATTCAGAATCCCTTCTGTCTTTAAAAGTCTAAAAAAGCCTCATGAAAGTAGATAAGGCCAGTTACCAATTGAATCCACTGATATTTATATTGAAGTAACTCCAGACTTACTCCTGACGTGGTTTTCGGCGCAGTACAGCATGTCCGCAGCGTGAATGAACTGATAACCAGAACCTCGAGCTCTCAGCTCCGCCTCGGTGTAGCCCAGGACTATTTTACCCCTGAAAACCAGCAGATACACACTTTAGACAATTGATTTGAAAGCAACTTGAGTAAACAACATGTGTGAGGTGTAAGGGTACGTACTTGGCGTCACAGGCCATGGGAGTAAAGTCCAGCTTGTGTTTGGTCCTGAAGATCATGTTCCTGGTCCTGATCTCCAGGATGGCGGGGGACTGGAGGGGCGTGGCGATGGCAAACAGGGCGAGCTGAGGGGGGGTGCTGCCCTCGCCGTGGCTCTGCGTCCCGCTCTGACCGTGGAGGAACTTCAGGCGACCCTGGATGTTCAACGCCTGAGAGAAAGTGAAAGGAGAAAAACTCTGAGACATGGAGTTCCCTGAGTGAGAGCTGCTCCTTCCTCCCTGTCCAAACTCATCCGTCTTATTTAACCTGCCGGGGGGGCAGAGAGCCAAACCACTCCAGTGCACTGTAAACACTCTGGGTGTCTACTGCTGGAAACCCTCCAGCTGTAAGTCTGTAAACATAAACAAACTACTAATATGAACCTATAAAAAGGGCTGAATAGTACCCCTTTAACAATGTCTGCTGTTATCATTGTGTGGATACTGTGACAGTTACAGTATGTGTGATCACTTCTATTTCTATAGTCATTTAAAGAGTATACCAAAAGTTGGGTGAGCATTTCTTGGAAAATGAAAACACTTTCTCCTGTCCTGCTCTCACCCTGCGGCATCCCGTGTCAGGACCCCCCCCCTCCCCCCTCCTCTGTTAGCGCTGGTTAACTGACCTTGGTGGGTTTAAAGGCCTGCAGCCGTGATGTCAGGAATCTAGCTCTGAATAGCAGGAGGGATTACTAAAAAGAAAGCCACAGCGAGCGGTAGACAGAAGCAGAAACCTGCTTAATGCTCACGCAAACACACAGGGAGGCAGGAGGGAGACGCCGGTTCGATCCCCTTCAGAGCGGCTGCTGCAGTTTCCTTTAGCAAAGTGAGGAAATCCTAACTTGAGTTTTTAGGGGAAACTAAATAAAGAAGCACACCTGACCTAACTTTCCTTTACGCACAAAAAGGTCAATCACTGGCATATATTTTCTTAAATACCCTAAAAAAACATTCCATCAATAATTAGCAGTGTTTAAATCTTTTGTTTTATCCGCTCGATGTTTTCTAGTCACAAATATTGAATCTAAAATCCTTAAATGTGCCCATCGAGACGTCTTCAAATGCTTTCTTTGGTCTGATCAGCAGACCAAAACACATACATTATCAATATATCAAAATAGTTCAAATGTGGCATTTCTCCTGGAAAAGTTAAGATACAGTTTATTTTGATCGCCCATTTTTTTATTATTATTGAAGAGTTGCAATGCCTTGCTCACTTTTCCCAGCAGGTTTTTCTCTTTTACCCCCAAGAGTTTTCTTCATCTGCAGCTGAGTGTGTGAGTGTGGAGCGAGCCACCCTGACTAAGCAAGTTTCCCCTCTGCTCAGGGGGGATTAAGGCCCTTTTCCCCCACGACCCCGAGGCTCTTTTAAGGCGGATTACAGGACTGAGTGGTGGCTTCTGATCACTCAGGGACTCTGAGGTGGCACGCCATACTGCCAGCAGACACAACGCGCCTGAACACACCATGAGCCTCAAATATGGATAAAGCTTTATCACTATATTCCACTGGGAGAGTGTATATCAATAATCATGTCTGTAAATCACAATAACATCTGAGGGAGATGCCGTGAAATGTATTACATAATAAAAGCATTGTTATTATTGTGTGTGTGTGTGTGTGTGTGTGTGTGTGTGTGTGTGTGTGTGTGTGTGTGTGTGTGTGTGTGTGTGTGTGTGTGTGTGTGTGTGTGTGTTGTCTCACCAGGAATCCGGAGGAGTTGTCCAACAAACAGCGGAAGCGGACGACAAATCCTCTCTCCAGGAACGAGGAGTTTTCAGGGGGAAGCTGCTCGGGGGTGTAGCTCACCAGACAGGAAGAGGAGGATCCCGACTCGCCATCTGAGAACATCCAATTATAACTCATACTTTATTATAGTTATAAAAGAGAGATTACAATGACTAATCTGTAGAAGGATGGGAAAATAAATGTGGAAATATAAATATGAGTAAATAAAGAAAAAGGAAAAGAATAAAGAAAAATAAGGGCATACACATAAATAAATACACAGAAGACTTCAGTCTACAGACCTGCTGAGGGGTCTGTGGGGGGGCCGAGGCTGTTGGGGGGGTTGAGGGCCCAGTGCAGGTTGCTCCTGAACTCCTCCTGGTCTTCAGTGTGGATCAGCTCAAACACACTCTGGTGCATCACGTCAGTCTGACAGGAAAACAAGGAGAGAAATAACCTTAAACATTGGACCTGAAGTTACTGTAAGCAGGGACATTGAGGGGTGCGTTTGATTCGGTTTGCCTTGAAGCTGAGCCAAAGAAATCAAGCGTTGCTGCAAATGTAATTCAAATAGTTGGAACCCAACCGAAGACCTGCTGTGACCCTGATATCTGTCCCAACCCGGCATGACTTACATGAAATAATAAAGACAGAAAAATGAGAAGGGGAATTATTGTTAGTCCCTTTTCACTCGAAATACTGTACGAACCTTGAAGGAAAATGGAAGAATAACAAAAAATGGGAAGCTAAATTATATTTAATTGAAAGCATAACATTGAAAACTGTTAAAATGTAATATTGTTCCAATTTTCAACTCTATTTTGAAGCTTTACCATTTTTTTCTTTTACTCTAGTGATTAATCTGCAGGTTTTGTTGCTGTCCGTCTATAAATGTTTCCTTCCTCAGTAGTAGATACAAACTCGGAAACAACGTCTGTGTCTTTCCTTAGTGGCTGCGCTTCTTCCCCTACTGCCTCTTGTTTTCCGGTGTGAAGACAGCCGCTGACACTCAGTGGCTTTGTTTCCCAACACTCAGCGACTCGGCGACTCACCACACACTCAGGTCCGTTTGGTAAATGCATGGTGACACACCTCAGGTGGACGGGGAAACGAGGGGTGAGGGGTGATGTTTACACCTGTGTGTGTGAGAAAGGGGGTTGAAGGCTGTGTGTGTGTGTTTATATACTGCTTCTACATTATGTGTCTGTGTTTATCTGAGTGTGTGTGGGATAGACTTTGTAACATTTGAAAATCACGTTCTCTGAAATGAGATTAGAGTGGCGGTGCGTTGAGGAGCCAATTGGATTAAAGCTCTCGCTCTATATGTGAGCTTGTTTCGATCCTCAGGTCACTTAGGACGATGCGTTCACTTGCCATAAAGCAATCAAGCTGCTTGTTGAATTCAACTCTCAATTCAAGCGACTTGTTGGTAAAGAGAGTGTTTTTGAGTTTTACCTGATGGAAGCCGAGGTAATCGTGGATGGTGTGAGAGCAGAAGAAGACGGTTCCGTCCGCTGTCACCACCATCACGAAGCCATTCAGGGCCTGCAAAGAAAACACAGGAAATGGTTATTATAATAATACAAAAAACATTTATTGCAGACACTCTTCTCATTATTTGACAGTTGAAATGTCCCTTTGGACACCAGAGGGTCCAACCCAATGGTAGCGCTAAAGAAAGAGGTGAACAAAAACATATTTAAAGTCATTTTCATCCGCAAAAAACTTCATTCTGTATTTGATTCCAAAACCAGGAAGAAAGAGGACAAAAGAAAGTAGACTTCTCCCCGGGCAGAAAGAGAGGAAGACGAGGAGGAGGAGGATGAGGAGGGGGTCAGCACAGGGTGACTAACATCTTCATCCCCGCTCCTCCTTGGCCTCGGGGCTCGGTGAGGAGGTGATGACACCGAGGCCTGACACCGCCAACAGTCACAGCGGCGTCCCGCGAAAAACATCCGCCCACACCTCCCTGATGAGGAGGAGGGTGAGGAAGACGGGCTTCATCTGAGCAGACACTAATGCACTCCACATTAATATCATTTGTCTCGCTGCTGTTGGAGATACACTTTACATTTCCCATTTAAAACATAATCACATGAAGTCAGAAATGATCAGAATCAGGATAAAAACTAAAAATACGGTGACACACACACACACACACACACACACACACACACACACACACACACACACACACACACACACACCCCCACAAGGCTGTATATAAAATGCAGAGTGCAGTGGCATGTGTATAAATATTTACTGTAGCTTCATGTGTTTGTTGTCTCTGCCACCTGACAACACAATGTGAGCTAACAGGACTCAGCATCCACCACAGAAGAAGAGACACACATTGAAACCCAGCTCACACACCAACAGCTCTGTGAGATATGAACGTATGAGGAGTGTGTTAAAGATTTGCTTCTATATACTGTGAAAAATGAAGGAATATTTCAAATGCTTTTAGTTGATTTCCACCCCCCCCCCCCCTTCCTTCAATAATAGATGTGTTCACCGGCTCTGTATAATTCATGGTCCGGCGTCTGTAATGGAAGAGAGGAAGACAGGAAGCTACTACTTGAAACAGTGACGTTGTGGGATGGACTGATAAGCAATGAGCTCCATAGAAAGCTCCATAAGGATTACGGGGAGCTCTCTAAGTGAATGAAAACCCAAACCAACATTTTACTGGCTTATAATAGTGTGATATCGAAGGGAAAAAAACAGAATGGATCGCTCCCAAAAAGCATTTCTGTGCTGTCAGAGGTGAACAAGTCTTTTCTGCCGTGTTCCTGCTGTGCAGAGCGCTCTCTCCTCCATCTGACCTTAAACAGCCTGCTGTCGTTGTTGAAAAACAAAAAAATCCATGACTAACCCCGAGCCTCAGTGGTTAGAGGATAGCTACTTCACTGTGTCTCGTATAAATCCAGATACAAAATACAGAGGAGTGAGTCCAGATGTTTGTAAAGTGAAACACATCTGTTACACGTAGCTATGATTAAAGACAGCATAAAGCAGATCAGTAAAGCATGTGTAGCGATAATGGAAGTGTAGAGATATCTTCACTGACCTGCAGCAGCAGCTCCCCCTCCGGTATGTGCCCATCAGACGCTCTGCCTTCATCACTACTCTTCTTCAGCTGGTTCTTCAGAGTCACTGCAGACAGAGGAACAGAGAGGATCAGTTAGTGAGTAATAATATCTCTATCAGTTACCGAAGACATCTCTTAAAAGCAAGCATATTCAATCACGTCATACAGCTAGACTGATATACTCTACTGCACATATTAGCTTGAATCTACGGATTTAAATCTGCATCTTAAAGATTTGTTATATAATCTGAGCTGCTAAAACACATAATTTTAACGTTTTAAATTCATAAGGTTATTCAAGTTTATCCCACGTAGTTTCATCCTGACCCCGGTCTGTTTAGCCTTAGCTTGCAAACACAAACATAAAAACCACTGATCATTAGCAGTTATTGTGACCCAAACATGTCCCGTATAGTGAGGCAGACAAAACGCGACCCCAGGGCTCTTCTGTGACCCCTGACCCCGGAGACAAAGACACGTTGGCTTTGACCTCCGGGGGCTGAAGTGTGTGTGTGATCGAGTGTGTGTAGGAAACAAAGAGCTCCTCTGCAGCCGCCGCAGCGCAGACGCTAATGGGAGAGGAAGTCTTTGAGCGGTGGACAATACAGACGCTTCTTCTGATCGCGACCCACATTCCTCACACAGATCAATACGGCCCAACACAATGTACGTGATAGGCTAAGGGGCGGGACATTTCTAAATGGTTGACCAATCACAATAGAGCCGGCTAGCTAACCAATCAGAGCAGACTGGGCTCTGGTTTCAGACAGGGGGTGAAAAGAGGTGCTGCAGCACAGGCAGTATGAGAAAAATAAAGAGCTTTTTGAACATAAAACTAAATCCTCACCATGCTGTGTGTGTGTGTGTGTGTGTGTGTGTGTGTGTGTGTGTGTGTGTGTGTGTGTGTGTGTGCTCACAGGGCAGAGAGCAGGAAAACATGTCCACCATCAATAATTGAGAGTCATGGAGGGTGGCGATGGGGGGGG